ACTTAATAGACATTTACTGAATATTAGTCCGTAAGTATTTTGGCACTAGTCTAGAATGTTCTAGGCACTATGGCTACTGCAGTGATCATGACAAAGTCCCAGATCTTCAAATTAACTTTAGAAAAGTGAGAGAGGGCAAATGAAATAAGCAATACTATAAACATAATAAAACAGTTGATGTGATGCTGAACTAGCATAAGGGAGTCAATTTTCAAATCAGAGTGCCATGAACCAGGATATTCCACAGCAGTGGGCTTAAGAAATATATATATATATTAACATCTGTGTGTTTGTGCACATATGTGGCAGTCAGAGGACAACTTGTAGAAGTCAGTTCTCTCCTTCCGACATGTAGGTTTCAGGAATCAAACTCAGGTCAGCAGACTTGAAGGACAGCACCTTAACCAGTTGAAACATCATCACCTCAGACCAGTAATTCAAGAATATAGGCAGCTGGGCAGTTGGGGATGCACATCTTTAATCCCAGCACTTAGTGAGTTCAAAGCAGCCTGATCTACAAATCGAGTTCCAGGACAGCCAGTACTGTTACACAGAGAAACCCTGTCTCAGAGGAGAAAAAAGAATATAGTCAAAGAAGTAACTCATTTTTAAAAGGTACGAGATATCCAGGGAAGTTCCTCAGGTCCATCCTTTCAATATCAGACACGCACCTTATCTCAGAAAAATAGATGAGCTTTCAAAGTGAGAATCACCAGTTATCTCACATAGAAAAGTCTATTCATGACCTAGGGAGAGGACATCCAGAGTAGTGCTTTATAAATAATAATAATAATATTGGAACACCTAAGGGATACAGGACTGCAACAAGAAGAAAAGATCACAAAAGTGAGTTATAAATCCTACCTAGTTAAACTCTTCATTTTCCAAATGAATAAGGTAGAGCCTGAAACTTAAACAGCACTCCCATTGAAATACCAAAGGAAACCAGGAGCACCCTTAAATGCTGCTTGTCCATCCCTAACCTACATAAGCTAGAAAATGAAACAAAGGAAGTCAAGTCTGGGAAATGGCAGGGTCATTGTTTACACATGCCAAGCCATGCGCTCTTCTGCAGCATCAGAGGCGCCCAGAGCCTGAGAGGCTGCAGATGCTCAGATGCCCAAGGATACAGTGACACCTACTTGCCACTAGGAGGTTCTTGTCCTTACTGTCTGTCTCCTATTAGCAAGTGAAAATACCTAGGAAAGAAAGGTGTAGCCTACAACAATTTTAGTTTCTGTTATTTTCACTTTTCATGGTAGTGTACAAAATAATGGGTTAATCTTTAGAAACAAACCATTGTTAGCAGGAGCCAACAGCTAATGTTTATTAGGTATCATCATAGCTTCCATGTATTTTTAATGTTGCTAGCACAGAACATTTTAGAAGAAAAATTTGGTTGGTTGAAACTTATATTGCGAAGATTAATACATACTTGAACAGGGCCTATGACTATAATGAAAACTGGACATTGTTTTCCTTAAGATAAAGTTACTGAGGACTCAACTGCTGGGTCTTAAGAGAATCTACTCTTTAAAAAAGTAAAGATCCTGTATGCACAGACTATAAGTATACATTCCCATAACCAGTTAGAATTTCTTCCTCTTGCAATCTTGCTTTCATAAATTTAAATGTAATTAAAAATAATTAGTAAGTACACCTAAATTTTCTATGTTACTGGGTACACTGAGTGCAAATACCTCTAAAATTCTAGAACTACAGCTTTTCTTTATACATGAATCTCTCAATTTCTCATCTATGAATTAACCTCCTTCTAGAACTAACACTTCAAAGCTAACACAAATCTTACTCTCTTGGGATATGATGTTTCATGAATAAAAACACATCTTACAGATATCAATAAGATTATGGCAATTCAGAAAGCTTCATTGATCAATTTTTAGAAAACAAAGAATATTAAGCCTCTCCAAAGAGCAAAACAAGTTGGCTCTGTTTCAGTGTTAAAACCCCAAATTCCTTGTAGACAAAAGTGGTGTTTGATACTTATTCTATCTGCTTCTCCACAAACTAAGGAAATCTAATAGATATACTTTTTTGGTTTCTTTTTAAAATAATGGATTTTTAGTATAGGTTTCTGATTAAAACCCAAGCAAATTTTGCCTATGATTAAGAAATTTTTCTAAAGTAGGGCTGGAGAGATGGCTTATGGGTAAGAACATTTGCTCTACAAACATGAAGACCTGAACCCAAATCCTCAGAACGGACTTAAAGGTCAGTGTGGCTGTTTACATCTGGAATTTCAGAGCTATGGGAAGCATGCATAAGAGGATCCTGGAAGGTTGCTGGTCACCTCCTAGATCCAGGTTCAGGGACAGACATGACTCAGGGGAATACGGTGGAGACTCACAGAACAAGACACCCAGTGTCTTCCCAAGGCAGTAGTTCTCAACCTGTGGGTCTCGACCCTTCTGTGGGTCCAATGACCCTTTCACAGGGGCCACTTTAGACTATCCGAAAACACAGATATTTACATTATGATTCATACAGTAGCAAAAGTACAGTCATGAAGTAGCAATAAAATAATTTTATGGGTGGGATCACAACTGAAAGACCCTCGGTCCCCCCAAAAAAACTCAATGTCCAGTCCAGCCGATGTAAAAACAAGAGGTAAGTTTATTGCGGGACGTTTGCGCAAACGGGCCTCCCAGTCTGACAAAGGAAGCCCCTTTCCTCAAAAGCAGGCTTCTTTTATAGGAGAAAACCATAGGCTTTTAGGGGTTTGGGTACATGACCAGAGTCACAGGTCCTTTGGAGGTCTCTTATTTTGGGGGCCTGATGGTCTCCTGACTCAGTGGGATGGTCTGTTCTCATCTTCATGACCCCCAGGGCAGGGTGGCCCTCTGGGAATTCTTGGTATTAAGTTAGATTGTCTTGTGGCCTTGTAAGGGAGTTATTGCTGCCAGCTAGGAAATTCCAGGGACTCGGGTCATTGTGACCTTGGTTAGATTTCTAAGTCAGGCCACCCTGCTTTTAGTGTGGGAAGTTTTTCTAAGTCTCCTTATTTTATTTCTTTGTTAATTTTTAAGTCCATCAACGACAACATGAGCAACTGTATTAAAGAGTTGCAGTGCTGGGCGTTGGTGGCGCACACCTTTAATCCCAGCACTCCGGGAAGCAGAGGCAGGCAGATCTCTGTGAGTTCAAGGCCAGCCTGGTCTCCAGAGCAAGTGCCAGAATAGGCTCCAAAGCTACACAGAGAAACCTTGTCTCAGAAAAAGAAAAAAAAAAAAAAAGGAATGTAGTGAATGTGCACAGGTGGTGCTCTTAGTGGCTGCAGCTGAGGCCCTACCCTGACAGATACCTGAATACTAACAGTGGCTCTTTCTGCCCTGCATATCATTTTACCTTTCTTGAGAAAAATTCTTGAAGCTCTAGAGAAAGCTAAAATGGAAAGAGTGGGGTTAGAAACAAATCTGAGGAGGACTATTCTGACAGAATTTTTCAGAGTGACTTGAAGATAAGCATACAGGACCAAGAGTAACCATGACTCTGTCATATGCAAAAAAGTTTGCTTGGGCTAGATTTAATGGAAACAACAGCAGATCTCATTTATTGAGTCCTTCCTGTGTACCAGTTATATTTATATTTATATGCCTATGAACAAGACGGAGGTAACATAACTTATCAAAGTCGATGTCAGTAAATAGTACACTGAGACATGCTATAATACAGCCTCAACTCCCCAAACCACCATAACTATCGAATAAAAACTATTTGGTTTTCACCGACTTTAAGCCTTCTCTAAAGCATATCAACACATTTACCTTTAAAATAGTCCTGAATACGAAGATTATTAAAGACTATTAAAGACTATTAAAAGACTCCATCATCATGATTTTTCAGGCCTAAATAAATACCCCACGTTCAAACAGTGGCACAGCCAGAATCGGAGCCCAGGCTATGCAACCTGCAGAGTTCAGCGTTCTGCCCAGAGAAAAAGGCATGCCCACAGCCACTTGGGGTGCGAGGACGCTCACACCACTCAGCACAGCCCGACTGCCAGCCCTACTGAGTCTCAAAACAATCAATCTTCTATACCTAATTTTAAGTATATCCGTGGGATCTGTCTCCGCTCACACCTAGGGCACAAAGAACGGGCTATGACTCTGGGGGAGCGGAGGGGAATTGCCTCCCCCAAGGAAGAACTGATAAGCCAAACACC